TTAAACTTCTAATTGGATTTGAAAAATTCTTTTTGAATTAGATGACCCGTTTATTGAGGAAGACTATATGCTATATATCATATAATTTATAATCTATCTATTCCATAGTAATCATAACGTACCCAGGGACGAACCCGAGGTACGAGCGAAGCAATAGTGAGCCGCTAGTGTATTTATAAATATTGTGCCGTTTTAATAAAATTCTTTTTTTAAACGATTATAAGACTCTTATTAGACTAACCGCCTACAGTTAGAGGAAGCGTTAAGTTTTCCCACAACATCACCAAATGGCGTACCTAAATCGCGAACCGTGACGGTGACTTACCGATCTTTTGAATTAATTCCACTCCCCTACACGTCACCTGTTGTTTCTAGTAACTTATGGAAAGAAATGCAATGTGTTGTAACCAAGTATTTATACTTCAAGTTACTTTCACTGTGGGAAAAACTTTTAACCTTCAAAAATTCCAAAAACTACAGCGCAGTTTTCATACGAACAATAAATAGCAATCTTTATGTAAATTACAATCTGAAAAGCTTTTTAAAGATCCTATATATTTAACTGTTTTAAATTATTTCTTTTTAATTTAGACAGTTTTATTTTTATTTTACAAGTTATTATTATGGCATATTTTCTTCAAGTTTTAAGTTCCTATACCTGTACCTATACCTAAATACCACGTAATAATACTTTTTATTATAAACACAATTTAATTTATTTTTAGATACTTTAGTCTTCCTATAGATACAAATACAGATTACATATAACGATACAGCAATAAGCTCTTGCCGCTCGCGGCGCAGATCTGAACGCGTCAGGTGCGTCGCCGCCGTTATTCCCCGCGGTGCGAACGGACCTTTACCGTTGCACAGGATGCCATATCGTTTTGAATCTATAATAACTAGATTAACTTACACTTACTTCGTAATCCGACGTTACTCGACAATAAAAAAAGTCAATTTTTATTTAAATTCTCTTAAATTTTATCAATTTCTTCATATTTTCAATAATTTCTCAGTTCAAGCTTAATAAAAAATTTAATTTATGTATTAACATAATAAACATTCAACCGTTATGAATTAGGATTATTTGTATTCTTATCTGTACTTGATTAAAATTGGTAAATTTTGCGTTTAATCTAGATAGTAAAAGCAGCGATTAATCTCCTAACAAAAAGTCGCGGCAAATGCTCCCGTACCAGATTTAACCCTTCATCGAGGGCGGGAATATTAAATTGAAATATTTCTATTTTATTGTCCGTAATATTTATTTGATTGTTAAATAAATACGCGATGTGGGACGCTGAGCGATTGTAGTCGGTTTAATGGAGGGTGAGACTATTGTAGTTGGTTAATTTTTTGATTAATCATTCAATTTGTGGGGGAATCGTTGCATTTGTTAAAATTTGGACCTTTGCGCAAATGATGACAGAATTTCTTACCATGAGATTTACTTTATTGTGTAACAGTAAAATTCGAAAATTGGTGAAAAAACACCTTACTTTTGTACTATTTAAAAATAAGTTAGATTGATATTAATAATTCACACTCTGAATCATGTAAAATATCGCTAAAAATACCTTTTTTACGATTTTTACGTTACTTACATAAAATTTAACATTTACCCATATCAGATTGATATCAATTATCAACATTATAGATCGTGGTTTCTAATATATAAACATGTATTGTTTCTTATCAGATTTTGAAAGAGATTTCAAATCTACAGCGTGATAATATGCTTCTACACATAACAATAGCGCATGCGCGGAGTCGGACAAAGCAACGTCATCAATTTTAATCTGCGCGACAATTGCGCGATGACAAATGTCAGCGCGCGCGACACTCATTCATTACTCGCACGAATGCACGCGGCCAATTTCAAAAAAAAATGGACTAATAAAGGGTTAACTTTATATTATTGTTATTACGATTGACGGCTACCAGATTATTATATTTGATATTTTACATAATTATTAACATACATACATCTCTGTTCTATTTATGATCGTCGATACTAGAGGAGTACGTGTGTAATGTGTATACTGTATAATGAGAATAGAAAACTAAATAAATCGATTTTAATAATAAAATCAGTTTTCATAATAAATTAGCATTAAAAACAGGTTTAACATATTCATAGACTGCTCAATACATGGATAGATATACGCAAATTGCTCATAAAAACAAAGATCAATCATTGGTTATCAAAAATCTGTCAGTCAAGATTTTACTTTCCGAGCATCGTAGGCATTTATCTTCAACAGATGACGTTGAATTTATTAATCCTTTAGCAAAAGTTTGTGTTATCGAATTATTGAATGAAAGGAGCTATAGGTGGCCTCTCTTATGGTCCTCATCAATCATGTCTTGTGCAAGAGCGCCCGGAGCATTATGACAAATGCTTGAATGGAGCCACTGCAAATCGATTCTAATTAGGGATAATATTTAAGAGTCATTGTGGAATTGTGTAGCAATGTTGTAATACAGCTGATATTTATTCATCCATAAATGTGGGTGCACAAAATTGTGGGTGATTTGTGTAAATGGACATTTTATTTATTAAAGCGAATAATTTCTTTATTTACTATTAGCATAACTTGCATAAAACTGTTATATGTACGTTGCATTTATGTATTGATGTAAATATATGTACTTACGCAGCTAATGATATAATTCGACCCGTCAAAGATATCAAAGTCACGTAAGTCAAAAGGTGAATAATTTTATTTGAAGCTTGTAATTATGGACAATTCGAATAGCATAAATCACTAACTATGCCGGCTGCGTCGCCGTCGACCGGAAGCCTGTACAGGAAGCTTTGAAGACCCTGATTTCATGACGATATAGTCTGCTAGATATGACAATTTACATAAAAAACGTTTTTTTTTTCAGTAATATAAATAATAAAAAAGCTATTTTATTTTTATTTTTTCTACTTTTGTTCTAATACACGCTCGCGAGGTTGTTATATTGTTGAAAATAGCATAATATTTTATAAAAATGTTATAGCGTGAAGAAAAAACAAACACTCACACTTACTAAGAAACTTTCGCTTTTATATTATTATTATGTCCTCCTAAATTTACTAAGATTCGAACAATAACTAAAAGCAAATAGCTTGCAAATTTACAGTGTTTTAAGAGAATTTTTAATTAAACGACTAATATGGTTTATAGTAATATTCAATCGAAATTTAAGTATTTACTAGAAAAGCATTATCATTTCCAGCAAAATACTATCTAAGCTCACCCCTCTTATGTTAATATAACATATGCGTGATTTTTCACATCGGCCGTCGCACGTCGCGATTTATCTAAATTAAATATCGCATGTGCGCGTGCCACCGTGTGCTCGTGCCCTATGACTTTTTACACATACAGTATGATCGGGTTAACGTTGTCTGGATTATGAATATCCCTATTTATTCATACTGTTTAAATAAAAAAAAATAATAAAACGGAAAGACAAATCGTTTTTAATATTAGTTCTATGAATATGTTTAAATTTTCATTTCTGCATTAGATATTAAGCTTGGCTGTAGGCTATATTTTAAACATATTATTTTAGCCTCGTTTTAATTTGGATTTTTTTTAATAAGGTAGTAACTCTGAGAATACTTAATTTTTAAGCTCTTAGGTCTACTAATTTACAGACAGACAGACATACTTCATATATATGTTATTTTTAAATATAAAACAGCATGTATGTACGAGGGCAAAGTCACACGTGTAGTGCAGGTGACTCCAATTAACTGAACCTAGCGAAGTGTGACGGAACAGTGATTCAACTCATATTCTAATCAAGTTGCAATATAAAATTAATATGTAGGCCCTACGTCCATGTAATCTTTAATTATATGTTTTCCCGACAATAGCCATAAAATGACTTGTATATTTAAAAAAAAGTTATGTCTAAAATCTTAAAAAACGAAAGAAACAGGCCATCAGCATACAGTATATGTATATAGGTATAGGTACGCCTGTCTTCACAGAATAGGTACGTTGGTAAACTAATTTTATTACAAGTTTTGTATTCATATTCAAATGAATTATTCTAATTTGAACTAAAATTTAAATAAAAATGAATGTTGCTAGGCGCAAAACTCGAGAACGGCTCGACCAATTCAGCAAAAAAAAATTCGTATGTTTTTTTTATGGTATTCAGTGACAAACGAGCAGACAGCCCACCTGATGGAAAGCGGTACCTGTCGCCCATAACACCTACGGTTCATGCACTTAGGTTTTATGTTACAAAAATGCAGAACCGTAGGTGCGTTGTCACTGTGAGGACTCAGACGATATGCCTCTTGCCTGTAATTGAGCTGGCTACCTTATCCTTCAAACGGGAACACAACAATGCAATCATTGTTGCTTGGCGGGAGAAATAGATAAAGGGGTGGTACCCATCCAGTCGGACTCCTCAGGCTTGACAGAGTCCTATCACCGGTACCTTAAGGTACACGGAAAGTTTTAATAAAAAGGAAAATCTACACAGATAAATAAAATTGAAGTGTCTGTTTCTTTGTGTCAAAATAACAGCGTTTTGCTAAATGCACATGAAATTATATACGGTACTTATATGATTTTTTTTGTCTGTCTGTCTGTTTGTTCCGTATAATCTGAAACGGCTGGATTGATATTGACGGGACTTTCACTGGAAGATATCTATCTGATGTATAAGGAGTAACAAAAGCTACTTTTATTTTAGAAAAAGAATTACCAGGGACGAACCCGAGCGAAGCGAGGGTGAGTCGCTAGCGAATTAATAAATGATTATAATAAGCAATATTAAATACCTATTCGTTCGTTTAAGGGTGGTGATAAAATGGTAAGAATGATACCTAATAACTTCAAATTAATTTTATAAATGAGAAATTTGAACAATGTTATACTTCGAGCTTATATCCTGGATAAATCATATATAGGTTATTACATATACATACTTTATACAGATCGTTGTGATTAAGAGTAAGTAAATGAAGTAACATAAAAACTCACCACTGTTAGCAGTGAAGACATCTTGTAAAGGCAGCGGTGTACGCGGCCCTAAAAGCAAAACCTGCCCCTTGGGGATGTCTCGAGTCACTTTATACCAAATCTGAAAAATATAAATGTGGGATAAGGCACTTTCAGAAATTAATAGTGTAATCAGTTACCAAATTAATAGTGTTATTAAATATTGTAAATGTAAGTAAATAAAACTGAAATTTATTGTTTTTGTTCAAGCCTACGTTACTAAATGAAAATAATTTTAAGTTTTTGTATTATATATTGAACCCCTTTAAAATGTTTCGTATAAATAACGCAACTTATAAAAATGGAAGTAGAAGTAAAAAGATTTCTAATACAAGCATTTAATCATTAAAAAAGTATAGCGACTTTAAAATTACTTTATAACTAAATATTCCACCCGCCCAGGTATTTTTTTTATTTATATGAGACAGATCCTTTAGGTAGAAAGTTTACCTCTTTATTAAAAAAAAATGATGATCCATCTATATATATAAAAATCAATTGCCGTTCGTTAGTCTCGCTAAAACTCAAAAACGACTGGACCGATTTGAATATTTTTTTTTTATTTTGGGTGTGGTTTAAGTAAAAAAATATAGAGAAAACCCATAACAAGCAAATACAGCTGGATGATCGAGAAGTTCAGAACTGTTTATTTTGTATGGGAATCATTACTTGGGATCACTTTCAGTAGTGGCGGACTTATCATCTACAAAAATGCATCAAGTTTCAGTTGGAAATGAAGTCGGTTAAAAAATAATATATATAATATATATTCTATCTATTCCACACTAACCGTTAAAAAGTACCTAGTTCGCTAGTTTATAACAAATAGGTGAACATATCGCGTAATACATGAATATACCCACAAAACAAATACAGATTATTTCAGTATCTCCTCCTTAAAGTATACCTACACATGAACGAATTAATTCGTCCATGAGTGAGTATACATATATTTATTTATTAGATAAATTAAATTTAAGGTAATTTACATACAAAGACAGTGGTGTAGCCCAGTGGTAACGCGCTCGCTTGGGAAACCGAGTGAAGCGGGTTCAAATCCCGGATCTTGCACCTCTGATATTTTCATTTCTAACATGATTACCACTAATTATAGCGTCTCACGGTGAAGGCAAACACCGTGAGGAAACCTACATGTCTGAGAGAACCTAGCAATTTTTCGAAAGACATGTGAAGTCCGCCAACCCGCACTTGGCCAGCGTGGTGGACTATGAACTGATCCCCCACGTATTGAAAGGCCCATGCCCAGCAGTGGGACGATAAAAAGGGCTAAATACAATAAAATTTATATACAAGGTATCTTCAACTAAACAAGAAAACGATCATTCAGGAAATCTCAGCTCTATTAAGACTCTATATTTTTATCAATAAAAACAATATGGCTTTATGGGGTCAAAATATCAAACGGTATTTAACCTGGGGGATCTAATCACATCTGTTGCCTGACCGGAAGCGACAACTGTTCAACGATTTTCTGTCACCGGAACTTGCGAATGCTCCATATTTATTGGGGTTGCTAAGATGAGGGTTGTGATTCGTCGGTTACGTACTTGTGGTTTAATGTTGATTTTTATATGTTTGCTTACAGTATAAAATATGCATGCTATGAAAATGTTTTAGTCTTTCACTGATTTGAACCTTTATATGTAACATTAGAAGGCACGCTGGGATTTTTAAATATTAATAGACAGTTTGCTTAATATATGTAGTTGCTATTTATCTATCTACATATATAAATAAAAATGAATGTTCGTATGTTTGTCCTCTATGCATTCCTAAATAATTGATGCGATTGTAAAGAAACTCTGGTGGGTCCAAAAAAATATTTTTTCTTTGAACGATTGTCTTTTTGATTTTGTAGCGGGGTGACCCACCCAAGTAAAGCGAGAGTAAATCCCTAGCAAAATATAAATCCGAACTATTGTTGTAATAAACCCGATAAATTCGTACACTATTTTAGTAATTATAAGATACAAGCGTTTTAACCTCGCTTTGTTCGGGTTCATCCCTAGGTACGTTTTAATGGTTAGTATGGATATTCCACGGGAACCATACATTTTTCGGGGATAAAAAGTATCCCGTGTACTATTCCAGACTATAATCTATATCTGTGCCTTTCATCCAAATCCGTTCAGCCATTCTGTTATGATAGAGTAACAAACATCCATCCATCCAAACTTTCGCATTTATATTATTTATGGGATTAATTGTAATATAAGCGTATTAAATAAATTAAAATAAAATTTGTTGTGTAAAATATGCATTAAAAATCTCATACTTGTCCAGCGAGCAGCAAATGTTGAACATTCACATCGTGAGGGTAAGTCGTTGATCGAACGTATTTTAGCCAGTTGGACTTCTCCGTGGTGCCATCCAACCATCCTCGGACACCATTTTTTCCAACAACCTAAACAAATATTAAAAAAAAAACATTAAGTAATTATAATTTTTAATCTGTATTAGATATACATTACACATTTATTACGTTTATTGTAGATAAAACCTTTTATTTATTAAATTTATTAAAATAAAAGTTAATAAAAACAAATGATACATGTGACATAAAATTCATTTTAATTCCCCGTATTATCTTCATTTAAATAGCTCTTATATTTTGTAAAGATCTGTAATAATATTTTAGATATTCCCTAAACGAAATATTATTTTTAGTTTTTTACCCGCCTGCGATGAAACCCGAAGTAGGGTTATGTGTTTGTGTGGGATCGTTAAAAATCAAAATGGCGTATCCTAGACGCCAATTTGTCTTGAAAAAAAAATTCGTCCTATTCAATCGAGTCGGGTGTCAAAATACAGGTTTTTAAGAGGCGATTACAAAAATATATACAACTTATATGTTTATAAGCAATTTAAGACAAGAAATTAAATTTTAAATAAAACTTAATACGTCTTATTATGTCTAACTGGCCAAAATTAAAAAGCTGTTGAAATAAAAAAATAATTTACAAAAATAAAAAATACAAACGTAAAACTGATCATGTATAATATCTCCGACTGCATAATACTATCTTCCTTCGTCAACTTGTTCTCATCTTTTAGTTAGCATTTTACAGTCGGGTTTTTCATAATTTTATTCATGTTATTGGCGTAAAGCTTTTTAGAATCATATATCCTTATAAGCGCCATCTAGTAGTTCCCCATAGAACTTCTTAGAATTTTCCATACAAGAAATAATATAATTATTGCACTTATATAGAAATTCACCTAATTTTTATGATGATAGATTAAAAAAATTATTTTAAAAGTTTTATTTAATATTTTAAAATAATATTATAAAATATGTAAAACTTACATGACACAAATTCATTTAATTCATATATTTATCATAAATATTTATTCCAAATATTTTTCTCCATTATTTACGACATAAACAAATAAAAATACGAACAATAACATATAAATTAAACCAAATCTAGTGTTATCACACAGCGTCATCTTGCGGTGGCAGCACGCACTGACATTACCGGACACCGCGGCTTCGCAATAGATGGCACTATTAGTCCGCGTCAGATCGTCAGCTTGGACATTTATCATTGACCACCCTAATAATTTAATTTTCATAACGTTGAGGATATTTATCATGTCACAATTGGAAACATACGTTTTTAAATTATTATATTAATGTTTGAGACAACAGCATTTTTAACCGACTTCAAAATAAGGAGAAGGTATTGTAAAAACCTTTAGAATGTTTAATAAAAATTCTTAAAGTACTTTCTCCGCAAAGAATACTTATAATTTATTGTTAAACTAGTTACTTACCCTCTCTTCGCTCGGGTACGTTTTATATAGGTAAGAATAGTTATTGTACCGAGTGTACTCAGGATAAAGACTTATGCTATTACCGATTTTTCTGTAGGCCTTATTAAGACCTACAATTTGTTATATTTCATTGTTTTGAATGTATCTCTTAAGGTTTAGCGAGCATTAGACATGTAAACTTCTAAGAAGTCGAGAACCAGTTATTGTATTTTCCGGTGGAAATGAAAGATTTTCCTGCAGTAAGGTAAGGTATCCTAAATGTTGATCCGAGTAATAAGTTATCACTACACAACATTTAGTTAAAATCATTTCAGTACATTTTGCGTGAAACGCGCACACCGATTTCACCAAGTTTCTATTTTATTAATATGTATAGATTACAATTTGAAATCAATTTAAAAATATTTTTCTAAAAGTGTATACACATATAGAAAAACTTACTCCAACTAAAGATAATTTATCCACATGATAAATATAAACAAAGGGCTTTCTTTACTCGTTATGAAAACGAGGGGTTCTAACCTACAATTTTTATCGAGCACTTCATATTACTTATAAACATCATAAAGTCCTAAGTAAAACGAAATAGTACAAGCGATTTATGAATTTAATACATAGATATAAGAATCAATTCAATAATCATATTGTTTTAAGTATTGTTTGCTGATAGTCAATTGAGTCGTAATAGAGAGGTAATAAGTACTTGACGAAGATGTGTATTTTCATGATAAAGTGTTTTATTTTTATAGTTTGATGATAATTTACGGTTTTTCAACTTGATCTATGGCTAGCATTGCATGATCAAGATACATCAAAAGTTGTTTTCTATTCAGATTAACGTCCGCCAAGCGAATTAACCACTAAGTACTTGTTATAATACTTTCTTAGATTTACGCGAATATTTTACATTCATACTAATATTATAAATGCGAAAGTAACTCTGTTCATTTGTTTGTTTGTTTGTTTGTTTGTTAATCCCTCCACGACCGCGATAACGCCAGCGTGTCAGTTAACAATTATAGATTTCTTAGAATTTTAATTAATTTCTTAGAAATTTACCTGGAGGTTAACAAGTATAGGTTACATCTTTTCACGATTAAACGGCTGTAGCGATTTAGATGAAAAATTGGTGTGGAGATAGTTTGAGATCCTGGGAAGGAGATAGGATAGATTTTAGGGGTTTAAGTTTGTGTGAGAATTCAATAATTTCTCAGTTGAGGGATACAAAACTCATCATATCTATGTATACTTATATAGTCTTATCTATTCCATACTAACCGATAAAAAGTACCTAGGGATAAATCCGAGCGAAATGAGGGTGTGTAGCTAGTCTATACCAATATTATAAAGAGGTAAAGTTTGTGAGTTTGTGAGTTTGTGACGTTGTAGGGGGTAATCTCTGGATCTACCCAACCAATTTAGATGAAATTTGGTAAGAAGATAGTTTGAGACCCTGGGAAGGACATAGGAAACTTTTTATCCCGGAAATCATCCTTAAGTGGTGAAAATGGGGATGAAAGTTTGTATGGGAAACCAACCTAGGGACGAACCCGAGCGAAGCGAGGGTGAGTCGCTAGTTTTAAATAAAGTAACTTATTTTTGGTTTTCACTTTGCGAATGCTTTATAGCACACTTGTCTTAGAAAAGATATAGGTACGTCCTAGACGTATAGGCGTCCAAAAAGTGATAGACATCATCTGTATATAATCTATTGTTGGCTTAAACAACTAATTTAAAGTAACAACTGATAAGACTTTTACTTAAATATCTGTAGGTAATAATCTAGTAACATCTTGAAGTAATTGTAACTTTATTGTGTGAAGTGCCATAATTTATAAATAAAGAAACACCAACGGAGGGAAGAAATCTTTATCTAATAACGCAGTCAGCAAAACAAGGTGCGTCTAATCGCGTGTGAAATTAAAGCGATCCCCAAAAATGTGAAGAAAATTGTAAGAAAAATATAAAAAGCATCTGTTGCAACAAGTGATGTAACAACTAACAACTACGTATTAATCAAAGCTAAGTGAAACCCTCCTTACGCGTCACCGGCAAGCCTTCCGCATTTATCACGGTATTAAAACTGCGTTGGGTGCGTTCAGTAAAAAAGATAATTATCTTAGCTACCCTCGTCTTAGGGTTGTATGCTCAATTTGTCCTTAGGTATGATTTAGCACTTGAAATACGACATCATTTTATAGGCGCTTTTAATGAATATGTCAACAGGATTAAACTGTGTTTTTAATCAATTACACTGTAATGTAATCTGACAAGACTGTCAAATATTATTATATTTATACAATACTAGCAAAACTCGCGGCTTCGCTCGCGCTAAAACTAAAAAAAAATGTCTAAAAAGGTTATTTTACCCCCTTAAAGGATGAATCTCAAGCATTAATACCAAGTTTCAAGTAAATCTGATTATAAATACTTTTTTGGATTGTATTATAACGCATTTTCCCGTGGGAATGGCATAATCTCCCGCGGTAAAAAGTAGCCTATGTCATTCTCCAGCCCTCCAGCTATCTCCACACAAAAAATCACATATTAATATGGATATATTATGTATTTTATAACAAGTAGCGGCTCACCCTCGCTTCGCACGGGTTCGCCTCTAGAAAAACTAAGACAAATCTATCCCTCGGGAACCGAACATTTTTCCGGGATAAAAACTAGCCTATGTGTAATTCCAGATTATAATCTATCTCTGTTCCAAATTTCATCCAGATCCGTTCAGCCGTTCTGGCGTTAAAGAGTAACAAACACCCATACATACAAACTTCCACATTTATAACATTTACACAGATATACAGATTATATTTGAGAAAACTATTTTAAATATTATTAATATGTATTAAGTATTAATTTATAATAGCACACATAGTTGATCTAAAAATTTTAGATAATTTTATAATGTATTATAAAAATTAAAATTTAAACGGATTTTTTACGGTTTTATTAAATCAAAAAAAACTGTGTAAATAAAAATTTCAAATGTTCATGTAAATCTAGGAAAAATAATCTTTAGATAAGGCAAGAGGATATATCAGCAGCTATAAGTTATTTCATTTAAATCTCAAGTGATGATTTCTAACAACCCTATCAAGGGTGCCGATGAACAGCACATGTTCGCAATCACTCATCGATGTACTGCCCAGTGAAGGATGCGAATTGAACATATTATACAGGGGGTCAGTTTTGAGACATGTATAATATATAAAGAAAATTAAAATCATCTATCCCTGTCTTTTTCATTAATACTATATACCTACTCGTTTTTTCTATGAATTCATTGTAGGCAGTGTATTGTATTTAAGAGTTACTTAGGTGTATGCGAGATAATAAGTTTGATTTTTATGTCATTAAGTAACTTTTTACTCTGTACAATATAACAAAAACGTTCTAACATTACATAAGTATGTTGCACATACATATATTTTGATATTGATTGAAGAAGACAATTTGACAAAGAAGAATATTTTATAATATATATAAAAGAAGTATCTAAATTACATTCTTATTAATAATAGCTATCAATAGTATGACTTGGCATATTATACATACGTAAGTTAGTAGGTAGTATTTGACCATATAAGGATTATAAAATATACGCGTAATCCACTCATT